TTGTTAGGTATCATGGTCAATGTGCTGCTAAGTTTTGTGAATTTCTTTTATTGTACTATTTGTTAATAGAGAGGGTATGAATTTGTTTGGGGAGTGTTGCTAGCGCAGTTGGGGTAGGGTCTTTGACCCACACTCCCCGTAATTCATTATAAGTACCTCTAAATCAGCCTGCTTGCAAGGCTATAATCAATATGCCTCCCTCTCTATTGTGAACCTTAAGCATGAGGCATAAGCAGCATTAATGATTACACATAATGCTAAGGCATGGTGGGTAATTGCCTGACCCAAGTGGCATAGTTAACACAGCTTAACTATTGGCGCTCTCATGCAGAGAGTATTCAGTTGCTCATGGCAAATATGGCCCACCCTGAGTTGGACCCCTTAGTTGGTTCAGCTGGTAAGAGTTAGATTTTGGCGGCACTTGTTTAGGTGCCAGGCATACATTGCAGCCAGGGTGGGCCAGCTTGCTTCATGAACTGGCCACTAGCTTCACATCGTTGAACTAGTGTTTAAGCCTTGGGTTCAGTTTGACCACCATTTGCAACCGCAAGCTTAGGGGGTGTGGCCCATACAATATTACCAACCCTTCCCTCTTTTTGCCCCTTTGGGGTGATGTGCAGGGCTTATTGTATATATTTTGTATATATTTTGTGCGTGCATTTTAGGGCGAATGGGATATTAATATTGTATTACTTTGCTAACGACACCCACCAATTAAGAACATTGTAACTTTTGTGACTCAGTTTAGCAGTCCTAAGTTGATTCTGTACTTAAATTTAAATGTTCCATTTCTGCACGTGTGCCTGTAGTTCTAGCCTTTTACAAGTAGACTTGTGTGTGCTATGTTTGTGTTTTGTTACTGATGTTCAGTTTATATCCATTAGCATGTTAAAATACACCAATTGGTATTAGTAGCAAATTATTCATTTCTTATCATTTAAATTATAATAGGTACGTACTACAGCACTGATGGCAGCAATAAACAACAAACATCATTATGTGGTGGAACTTTTATTAACCAAAGGAGCTGATCCAAACATAGTAGATAATGTGAGTAACTGAGTATTGTACATGTACATGCATATAATAACATGTTTAATGCACTGTCAGTCAGTATCAGGATTGAAGCTTAAATTGTATATTGTCAAAGCCCCACATCCATTAAGCAACTTGTTTGTGGCTACTTTGATCTTGTGAAGAAATTTAAATCAACTTGTAGAACAGATTTCTATTCTTAGATTACAAGATCAAAGTAACCACAAATGTTGCTAGCATGTTGCTTAGTATAAATTTGGAGAAGTTGTATACCATATACTGGTTTATTTTTGTGGTGGAAAATTTCACAAATCTTGCATTTTAAGATTTTGCAAAATTAATTTTTGCAAATAGCTTGCTGACTGCACCACATGGCAATGGAGATGCAGAATTTTGTGGTGAAAAACTTTTGCAACAAAGCAAAAAACCTCAAAATTTACAACAATATTTCACCACAAAAATTAATGGGTATACAGTATTTGACAAATAATTGGAATTACTGGTTTTTGGTGATTCAGTTTTAATTATGCAAATTTGTGGCATGTGCCTTTAAACATGCATGCACAAAATAGTGTATTTTTTATTTTGATGAATGGCTATCAATAATTACCAAATTTTTTTCTGCCAAAACTACCAGCTATACAGTAGTTATATTGCAGTTGTACAGGGTTCTGCCTAGAAAAAGTTAGAGGTGGTCGGAGACTAATATTATTTCTTTTAAATTTATTTAATGTATACTTGTAGCAAAGATCAAAGAAATATTAGTTATGATAAAAGCCATAGTACATGCCCAACTAAAGCCACAGTGGATTATCACAAAACCACATTGTGCTATTGTTGATAGCACAACTCATTAAAGTATGCATTTAATGCTGGGGAAAGTGC